TGTGGAATGGTTTGCTGCAGTTGGCTCTGTGCCGGGTAAAAGCCCCCACGGGGTTCAGGGCTCCATTTAGGGTGGTGGTAGAACCTTCTTGAGAATACCCATGCCTTAAAAAGTGGTGAATCCAGGCCAGGTGCGGTGGCTCCTGCATATAATCCCAGCACCTTGAGAGGCATAGTCAGGAAAACTGCTTGTGCCCAGGAGTTCCAGATCAGCCTGGGAAAGAGAGACAGTCCTTGTTCCTCTTTTTTTAAAGTGGTGAATCAATGAGTTTGAGACAACATTTCTGATGTTCACATAAAATGGACTTGAAGTTACTGTGTTTAAAACTATTTTCTTCAAAGAGGGAGAGCTTACTTCTGAATGTGGTGCTAGGAAAGAGCCTATGTTAGGAAAGGTAAGAAAAAGCCTTAGCTCTCCATGTAGGTCAGACATCCAGGGCACCAGCTGGTTTGTGGTCGTCCAGCTCTAATTAGGTTTATTAAGAGTTAGATACCTGATTGCCAGTTTGGCACATCTCAACCTCTTAGATTCCTCCAGATGTTACTGTTGGAAGGAGCCTTTTAGACCTACATTTCTCAGCACCCACAGGTATTAATATTTACATAATAAAAAGATTCTGTGATCAGATAAGCTTGGGAGACCCAGGGCTAGATCAGGTCAGACAGGTTTTCTTTATTTTGGAACTTTTTCCGCCTTTAATATGCTGATGTGTATCAAACCTGCTAGAGGGCCACAGTCTTTGCATTTCTCTCAAACTTTCTTGACCAGAGCCTCTCTCTGGTCTAGTTTTCCAGCCATATGTTTAGAAACCATAATCAAGAACAGTGTCTCTCATACTTGATTGTGTGCATCTGCAGGGCTTGTTAAAATATGCGGGTCATTAAACCCCACCCCTAAAACGTCTGCATTTCTAACAAGTTCCCAGGTGATGCTGACATATCCCTTTATTTGGTGGAGAAGAAAATAATCAAACCAAAGGGTATTTACTAACAATAGTGACCTTTAACTGAGCCAATCACCTGCTGAGCACTTCTCATGACTGTTGCTAAGGGCAAGTATGATAATGGGATTAAGTCACTAGAAAGGGGAGTACAGTGCAAACAATTATTCTTTTGGAGTTTGATCCTGTGCTACTCATAAATCATGGCTGGTGGATCAGGCAGGGGTTCCACCCAAGGGGCTAGTCAAGGTCTTCCTGTCCTTGGCATCGATATTGGAAACAAATTCTGTATGTATTTTAATCTTCTGAGCCTTAGTTTTCTCATCTATAAATGGAAGAGGGCAGAAATTACTTTAATGGATGCTTACTACTTTCTGTAGTATTTCATTTTATTTTTCCTCTGAGTTATTTTTTCAGGTATACTAGTGTGCTCCCACTCCTGTCCTATCTACTACTGTGCTAAGGTGTTGGAGGCTTACAGTGTTACCCCTGCAGGGGCACTGCATATTAAAAGAGCATTCCTAAAGAAGTGTAACATTAGACTCCCAAACAGTGTGGCCCCTGGGTAGTGGACTGTGATAGTAATAACTGTTGTCATCCTTACTAAGGTCTAGTGGAGAGGAGTCCCAGGGTCCACCATATCACCTGCTCACTTAGAAATCACAGACTGTGTGAAGCACCTAGCACAGTCTCTGGCACAGACTAAATACCAGGGTTCATTCTGGTTAAATATATAGTGTTAGAGATTCTTAAGGGTGCTTCAGAAGCCCCTGGAATTGTATGCAAGCTTGTGAGTGTGCCTGATTGAATGTGTGTGTGAGGGAGAGAGCAGACACACACTTTTCTGTAAACAGGATGAAGAAATGTCAGGGGTCGTTGCCTTATGTGGAAGGCCAGCCCGTATCACATGATTCAAATGAGTAGGCTTAAACCCCTGCTGAACCGTCTGGAGAGGAGCTTAACTAGGAGTCAGGAGGGATTGATGGGTTTCCCCAATGTTCAGAGGCATCTAAAGCAGCCCCTGGGGAATGGGCAGGAGTGGCCAGGATCTACCAGGGACCAAAAGGCCACAGCACAACAAGCAGCCTGAATGAGAGCAAGGGTGAGCCCTCTCTTCAGCACAGAACATCTGGTTCACCCAGGCCCTGCCTGAACCTTGGTGAAAGCTCACACTTGGCCTGGGGGGCACTGCCCTCTGCTGGAAGGTGGGCACAGTTGAGCCTCTCAAGGCTGGAAGAGGAGACTCAGCCTTGGCTGTCTGGAATGCAGTGAGAAGAGCCCACCCTCTTGACAAGCACATAGTAGGGACCGAGGCATGAGGCACAGGTTGATGACTTTGGGGGTCTGTCTTTCCGCTACCACATGCACCCGGAGAATCAGCCAGCCTACTGTGTTACTGGCACCCCACCTCAGCTGAGCACAACTTACCCTGGACCTCCAGTGTAAGGCTCGAATCTGCCTTCTTGTCACCCTGGTGTGCACCTAAGCAGACTGAAGAGAGCCTGAGGACAGGCCATGGTGCACCAGTCCCACCCACTGCAGGCATGTGTGTAAGAGCGTGGGGGCTGTGTGCTAGAGAGGACGTCAGAGAGGCTGGGGCGAGGGAAGGGGAGGTTTCTCTCTCAGTCACCTTCACCAAAAGCAGATCCATGCCATCCACTGTGCGGCTCCCCCTCACCCCATCAGCCCTCCTTCTCCTGTGTCTCTGAAACCCCATCGTGTCTTGGCCTCGTTGGGGCTCAGCCCACACCAGGCAGCACCAGTCGCACCACTGCGCTCCACACTGATCCCGGTGCACACAGACCCATCCCCCTTCTACTGTGTGTTTAGGTTCCCAGCCCCCCACCTGCCACGGGGTCTCTGTGCCCCCGTCCTATTCTTTACCACCTGTCTCAGGAAGGCAGCTCCAACTCTGCTCTTTGCTTAGTGAGCAAGTGGATTCAGATGCACAAAGCCATGAGCCATGGGTAGGTATGAGTTTTTTCTCCATGTCTCTTTCTGTCTTCTCCCCCTTTTTGCCCTCTCCTCCCCTAGACTCTATTCCCATGTCATCCTACATTATCCCCTTTTTATTTTTCTCTCTTTTCTTTGTTCTGTGTACACTCCTAAATTCCCAATTTGTATGTGTTTTTTGGTTCTTTCACTTTTTTTTTTTGTAGAGATGAGGTCTTGCTATGTTGCCCAGGCTGGTCTTGAACTCTGGAACCCAAGCAATCCTCCCTCCTTGACCTTCCAAAGTGCTGGGGTTACAGGCGTGAGCCTCCACGCTGGCCAGGAATCTTTTTTTTTTTTTAGCCTACTTGCATGGGAAAATTTCTGATCCCTTATCCCGGTAATTGCTGTGCGTGCTGAGAGTGACTCTGGCCCTGCCATAAACGAGCTTTCGTACCTGCTGCTGGCTCCCAAGAAACACAACTCTGTTCTTGCACAATTCTGAGGCCTCAGTCAAGCTAGTGATCTGATTTCTGTTAATCTCTGATGTGGTTGCCGGAGGAGACCCAAAACACAGACGGCTTGAGAGAGTCCCTGAGGAGGATTCCTGGTGTAAGCAGAGGCTCAAAGTATGTGTTTGGTCCTTTCAGGCCCCCACTTCAGATTTAGTGAAGCCAGGCCCCTGTATCCCAGGTTGGCCTAGGTGGATAAAGTTCTCCAATGTGGCCCTGCATCGCAGCTAAGGAGGAGGAGCCACTCAGAACCATGGGGTGGTAGAAAACTCCCAGTGCTCCTGTGTGTGAACCAGAGGAACTGGTCAGGGGCACTATGTCAGCTTTTTCTAGGACCCAAATTCCAGACATCTCAGCTTTTAGAATCAACTTAAGGCATCTCCTAGGGCCTAGTTCTGGATTCTGACCCAGGCCCAACCCCTCTGGGCTCTGAGACCACAGCCTTTTGTAATACCCAGATCTCCACTGATTTTTTTTTCTCCCACCTGTAAAAAAAGGAGATGAGGTGGGAGGTTCCCATCAATCCCTTCAGAGCCCCTGCACCTGCAGAGTTGCTCACAGGCCTCCTCTGGCCCCACCCTGCCTCCATTTCAACCAGAATGCCTCCTGCTTCATCTTGGTGTCTGGGAGATCTGGATGAGCCCCCTCCTCCTGACACACTGGAGGCGGGTGCCACCTTCACAGGGCCCTGCAGTCCTCCCTGACGTTAGGATTTGCTCACCCTTCTCTCCTGGCAGTGCTTCCTGTGCTGCTCACAGGCACAGAGCGACCTCCCCTACTGGTGTGAACAGAGGAGCAGCGGGAAGCAGGCACCTCTCGCCTCCGTCCCAAGGCTCACAGGCAAAACTGACGTTGCCAATAGATGGATGTTTGTTAAAGACAAAGTGCACTTGCCCTTGTGCCTGTTTTTTCATGTTTTTCTTGGCATAAGATCTGGAATATTCTGCCAAATGGACAGAACATTGCTCAATCCATTTGTGTTTGGGGCTGGCCTTCCACTTTGGAAACCTAGAGATGGGGCTGCTGGTCCCACCCATAAGGCTCCTTGCCAAAGGTTTTGGCTCCATCCTCAGCAGAGTGAGCAGAGGGCATGGGGTCCCCGACACCCCACAGTACCAAGAAGCCAGGCCCTTTTTCTAAAAGAATGGGAGTAAAATCTCAAAGAAGTCTTGGCCAGACCACTGGCACAGATGGGGTCACGAACGACCCTTTCCTTATCAAAGCAGATACGTGCTTCCATCAGATGGCTTTTCACCAGCCCAGGCATTTCTGGGTATAGAAAGGGGAATTCACCGGGCCGGATTTTAGCCTCATAATGACTGTTAGCTTTGGCAAGGAAGATGGCAGCAGGGGAGTTGGAACTTCAGGCATTTCTTGAGGTGGGTACTTTTCTGAGGGCTTTTATCCCGTGCATTAATTTATAAGGGCATGGGGAGTGGGGAGGAGTTCTCGGGATACTGCTCTGATGTGTTCCAGCCCTTGGAGGAGGATCCCCCGCAGGACAGTGGGAGCGGTGGGAACGTCGAGGAAATGGTAGACAAGCAGTCCCCTCCATGGGGAGTGAGGTTGTGAGGAGGACCCCTGGCTCATAGCCGTCTCCCCACATGTCTTTGCAGATGCGCTGGCTCCCTCCCTCCGAGGCTACTTCTCAGGGCTGGAAGTCCCGTCAGTTCTGCTGAATATCATGTAAGTATGTGGTTTCACGAGGAAATTTATAAAGCACCAGCTCAGTCTGTACAGAGTGGACATTCCGTGAAGGCAGCTCTCTTCCTTTCTCCACACCCACACTTCCTTTCGTTGTCGTCTTTGTTAAACTCTGGAAGAGCTCCATAGCAGTGCATCTTCTCTGAGAGAAAATCCTCACCTAGGATTGAGGGAGAAGTAGAGATGGGGCTGAGGTAAGGGTGTTAGTCTGTTGCCTTCTAATTTAGGAAATAAATTTTGGGCCTCTCCATGTCATAAGCAAGCAGTCAGAGCTAGTTCTGTAGAACAGATGTCAGAAAATTTCATTTCATCATTGTTCACCTGCGCCAGCATCAGATAAAAGCCTTCCTTCTTCAAGTTACAGGAATGGTCAACCTCTCATTGATATACTGTTTATTTTGGGAGCTCTAGAGATTCGTTAGATGTTTTAAATGTTTCAGTTCCACAGTCAGCCTTCTCTTGGTTTACGTCATTCCTTGGTCCAGACCTTCATCCTGTTAGAACCGCTGAAGAGGCCATGCAGACTGTTGTGCGTGTGTAGCTAATGCTCAGTGGAGTTCTGGGTCTTTCCTTGGAGAAGTTTATTCTAAGATAGAAATACTTCAAAATGAAATGGATGTTCCTTCTTCCACCATTAATACTGAGCCCCATGTGCTTTTGTCAGATTATCTGAAGTCATTTAGACTCTTTTAGAGAGGTGTTTCGTGGACAGAACAGGCCTCCAACTGGCTTAGATACCACTTAAATGAATAAATGTTTCAGACCTCCCACAAGGAAAAGATTGAAAAAATGGTAGGCAGAAGAGCTAGCCTCATGCAGGTTAGTGCCTTAATGAAGAAAGAGGGCTTGAATAAGATTTTAAAAGAGTTCTGGGATTTATTTTCCACAGACAAGTTGCCCTGTTAACTTGAAGTCTCAGTTGGTGGATCAGGTCACCTTCAAGATTTGGGAGGACTGCTGAGTGTGGACTTCATTTACTGAGGTTCTTACTACATGGGAGGCTGGCACTTCCAGAAGAGCTCTGGTACTAGGGCAGAAGGAAGTCTTTATTCTCAAAGGAGGGCCCTCACCAAACAGGAGAGAGATTAGTAGTAGGCATCAGAGTATCAAAAATCCCACCGAAGATTATCAGAGTGGACAGACAGTAGACCAGTAAGCTGGTGGTAATAAGGGATGACATTTCTGTGCTTAAGACCATCAACGGCAATATGTTTCGACTTGTACCTATTCTTCCCTTAAGCCAACTTGTTTCTGAGTGTGGCCAAATAACACTAGTCCTCAGGGATAATCGTAGGCGGAGTACACAGATCCTTCCAATTCTATCAAGGTCAAACAGGGAAACACATTTCTTTACTAAAAGACTCTTTGAACCTTTATGACAACATGAACATCACGAATTTTTAAAAAGAGGGAGGAAGCTCAGGCCAGGTACGGTGGCTGATGCCTATAATCCCAGCACTTTGGGAAGCCAAGGTGAGAGGATTGCCTGAGCCCACAGGTTTGAGACCAGCCTGGACAATTTGGCAAGACCTCATCTCTACAATAAATAAAAAAATTAGCCGGGTGTGGTGGCACACACTTGTAGTTCCAACTACTTGGAAGGCTGAAGTGGAAAGGTCGCCTGAGCCCAGCAGGTCAAGACTGCAGTGGCCCTGAGTGTGCCATTGCACTTCAGCCTGGGTGACAAATGAGACTCCGGCTCAAAAAGTAAAATAAAAAGAGGAAGCTCTGGCTGGGTACAGTGGCTCAAGCCTATAATCCCAGCACTTTGGGAGGCCAAGACTAGAGGATTGCCTGAGTCCACGGGCTCGAGACCAGCCTGGGCAACATGGTGAGACCTCGTCGCTACAATAAATCAAAAAATTCACAGGGCATGGTAGTGCGTGCTTGTAGTTCCAGCTATTTGGAAGGCTGAGGCAGAAGGATTGCCTGAGCCCAGCAGGTCAAGGCTGTGGTGGCTGTGAGCGTGCCACTGCACTCCAGCCTGGGTGACAGAGTGAGACTCCAACTCAAAAAAAAGAGGGAGCTCTAGTGTGCAGTATTTCTTAAACTTACTACAGGCCAAGGAATCCTTGTCTTACAGATTCTTAGGAGATGTTTTACATAATGCACACTTTGAGAAACCATGCCCTGAACCCATAGCCAGAAGTGAAACGGTGGTTCCTATGTGTATAGATCCTTGAACCAGTGTGTTTATCTGTGATACTGCTCATCAATCTGTGATGGTGTGAAAAAATCAGGACAGTTTAATGGGTTCTTTTCTTATAGTTACCTGTATTTGTCCCTTATTCAGAAATTGTGTGTGTGTGTGTGTGTGTGTGTGTGTGTGTTGTGTGTGTCCTGTTTAAACTAAATGTTAGTGTTAGGAAATGGTAATTATATTTTAAATGTCCTTTCTTTAAAAATAAAGTTATCGATTGGTGACAAATAAGTGTTCTTTTATTTATGTATTTATTGAGACAAAGTCTCTATAACCTAGGTTGGAGTACGGTGACACACTCATGGCCACTGCCGCCTTGACCTGCTGGGCTCAGGTGATCCTTCTGCCTCAGCCTTCTAAATAGCTGGAACCACGGGATGGCTAATTTTTTGTGTGTAAGTGTGTGTGTTTGTGTGTGACAGTTACTGTAGAGACGTGGTCTCACCATGTTGCTCAGGCTGGTCTTGAACTTGTGAGCTCAGGCAGTCCTCTCACCTCCACCACTCAAAGTGCTGGGATTACAGGTGTGAGCCACGCATCTGGCTAAAAGTTTTCTTTTAAAACATTTTACTGTTTTGTATAATCTAAGTTTGCTTTGTTGGAGAGACTTTTTTGCCCTCTGAAAATACTATTTTAAAGCTTTGAGATACATTCTAGAGTCTGTGAGTCCATGATTTTGTAAGTTCATGCTCCATAATCTTATGCTTATAATTTTTAAACTTACACTACAGATTCCGAAGTCTTAATCAGTTAGGTGTGCAGAATCCTCTCATTGTTGCCATGGTGATGTTAGCCCAGCACTGCCTTCCACTTTGAGAAGACTCTGTTCTCATGGACCCTGCTGTGAGCACCTCTCTCTTCCGAGACAGGGTGTTTATCTCTCAGTTTTCAGAGGCTGGTAGGTGTCTAGGATAAGATAACTGGGAATTCTGAAGCCTGCAAAAGAATTCATGGCCTGAAATGTCAATCTGGCTGGCACTCAGCATAAACAGAGTGGAGGGAGTTCATGAAATTGGCAGAGAGGTCACAGAGCTCAGAACTTTGCGATCATCCAGACATGAGTCAGCAGAGGAAGAGTAAAGAGTGAGCAGGAGGGTGTCAGGTCCCTTCTGTCAGAAATGTCAAATGCTGTAGGAAAGTTGCGTAAGGTGAGAGAAGACCTTCAACTTGGCAGTTTCCAGGTGGTAGAGAACTGGGCAAAGATGTTGGCCTAGGGCCTAAGGAATTTTAATGAAGGCTTAAAAAAAACTTTTTTTATGGAGTTGGAATCTCACTCTATTGCCCAGGCTGGGGTGTAGTAGCATGCTCACAGCCACCGCAGTCTTGACCTGCTGGGCTCTCAGGCAGTCCTTCCACCTCAGCCTTCCTACAGCCAGAACTACAGGTGTGCAGCACCCCATCCAGCTAATTTGTTGATATATTGTAGAGACTAGGTCTCGCCAAGTTGCCCGGGCTGTTCTCGAACCCCTGAGCTCAGGCAGTCCTCTTACCTCGGCTTCCCAGATTGCTGGGATTAGAGACTTGAGCCACTATGCCCGGCCCATTTAAATTTATTCTTAAAGAACATCTATAGGTCACAGAGAAGTCATCCCTTATTAAGCAGTCACACGGGTTCTAGTGGAAAAGATCCTGGGCTTCTCTTGGGTTGGCTCATGTCATATTTTTCCAAATAATTCTCCATAGACCCATCGGTCCAAGAGCTGGAGGCAGCAATGGCTACCAAAGAGGGACTAGCTGTGGCTACCCGTTGGAAGCACAGCTTACAGAAACCCCGTAAGATCTGAGTAAAAACATTTCTTGTTGCCTGTGTGTTCTGAGCTAAGCTTGGGCCATAGGCCAGGCTTCTTCCTCAGGGTCTGGAGGGAGGGGTGGTCGCTAGGAAGGAGTAAGGGTAATGGCACCCATGACTGCTGCACGTGGGCTGAAGTCTAGTCTCCTGTCCCATGTGAAGTTAGAGCAGCTCAATGTGAATCTATTGTTTAAGCTCCTTCTAGTCTTTTGGATCAAGTCCTTTCCAAGACAGCGAATAATCCAAGCTACGTCATCTTGGGAAATGTAAATTAGAATCGGAAACAGTGGTGCTGATGAGCTAATATCAACACTTAGACCAAAATGAGTCTGCCAGGAAGGCCAGTGGAAGGTGCCACCCACAGCCCATGTGGCCCTCCTCCATCCCTCAGGGGCTTTCTTCCCCCACTTGCTTCCTGCAGGGGAAGATGGTACCAGAACAGAAGACGCGAGCAGGAGTGAGGTCTTGTGTCTGACGTTTGAATCTCTGTGCAGACTGGCCCTGGCTTCTGATGTGATGGGGCATGGGATGCCAGCCTGGCAAATCCTGACAGCCCAGGGCCTGCTTTCCCAGAGGTCCTGCAGGCAGGGATTTTTACTTCATCCGCTTTGACTTCTTAGTGCTAAGGAGAAATCGGTGACTAGACTGGAAATATAAATCAGCACTTTACTCTTTAAATAAACATTTGTTGTGTTTGCTGTGTGCTAGATATAAAGATATGGAAAAAACAGGCCCGTGCCCCTAAGGAGCTTAAGTTCTCATAAGAGCATTGTGGACACGTCATATAAGAGAAGGCAGTGGGCATGCCCAATGCCCACGATGCTCCAAGATCAGCCTGCTGTGCAGAGAGCTGTAAAGTGGGGTGTGTGCCCATCACCAACGGTGGCGTAAACTAGAGGTACCACAGGTTGACAGGGTATCTTTGGCATTTTCATTTGTTCAGCATCTTGCCCCATGGATGGTGCTTTGCTGGTGGTCCAGCCATGTGGCCAAGTACCCCAGAATACAAAATAATGATTGAAAATCATCCATTTTCCAGACATACTGAGAACAGAAGAACATGAGCAAGGTTTTTTTTGTCACTCTTTACAAGTAATGAGAGAGAGCTTCCTTGTTGGGATCTGAATATAGGTAAGCTGCTTGTAAAAGGGAAGAAAGAGCATTTGGGAGGTGGGCTAGCCATGGGAGGTATTCTTAAAGAACTCTTGAAATTTCCCTGGCCATAGACCAGAACCAGAGTACAGAAATTATAAGCACATGTAGTTATAGCCTCACCAAATCAGAGAAGGAACCAGCAAGAGATAACACAGATGGAACGTGGAGCTATATTTTCCTTTTATTTTGTTTGGGGCAGAATGGCCTTGCCTGTGTTTGGCTATGAGCACCGAGCTATCCTCAGGAGCCCCCAGTGCTAGCATCCAGGCAGAGCTTGAGCTTGGGGCTGCACAGAGAGGGAAAGTCACTGGGCCTCATGAGGCCCAGATGGGCTGCTGTGGGTCCTGCAGTTATCCCTGCCTTCTTCCTGGAAGAGCCCTGTGTGTGATGCTGTCACACTGCAGTGTGCCCAGAAACAAGAGCTGCACTTGGGACTCACTTGCCATTCCCTTCTGTTACCAGGGCCTTCACGTCACACCTAATAACCACCAGAAACACTCAATGAACAGCTGCCATAGGACAGAGAGGAGATGGGTAATAGATAACAAAATAAGAGGTCAGGCTGGTGATAGGAAAAAGTGGGGTGAGTAGACGAATGCCATGGTGTGACAGGCACCACTGTTTTATGCATGGTAGTGGAGTGGTCAAGGTCAGCCTGAGAAGGCAACATTTGAACAGAGACCTGAAGCTTTATCAGATTTGTATGTGGTGTTTTTTCAGGACAGACCCCACTTTAGTGAAGTTTTGAAGACAATTTTTTAGTTGGAGTCTCACTCTGCCGCTCAGGCTGGAGTGCAGTGGCATGCTCACAGCTACCACAGCCTCAACCTGCTGGGCTCAGGTGATCTTTCCACCTCAGCCTTCCAAGTAGCTGGAACTACAGGCACACACCACCATGCCTGGCTAATTTTTTTATTTATTGTAGAGGCGAGGTCATGCCATGGTGCCCAGGCTGGTCTGGAACCGCTGGGTTTATAGGCGTGAGCCATCGCGCCCGGCTTGAAAATAATTTAAGTTTTGTAACCCTCCTCTTCTTGTCTCTCCCTTTGCTAAATCGAAGTAAATGGGCTTGCTTCAGGCATGGCTTTCAGGAGCCTGAAGGAGAATGCCCTGGCTCCCAGTGTAGTGAGTCCTGGCTGCAGAGAGCTGTTCTCTGGGGGTTCCCCCATGTTCCCAGTGAGGAGACGCAGGCCCTGGTTCTGCCATTCCCCTAAGTCCCAGGTCTGTTAGACCTTCCGCGTGAGCTCTAAAGGAACGGTGGGCCTGAAGACCTTCCACTTGCCAGGCACTTCGGTGGGCAGTGCTGTCTGCTGCTTCATAAGCACTGGCTGAACTCCTCTGCGCACCAATACCCGTGACAAGCAAATGCAGTACAAGCTGCAATCCCCCCAACCCCTCTGCCCATTGCCCATTGGGTCTGACTGGAGTTCTCTGACACCCCCAAGCACACGTAGGTACATGCCCATGTTGCCTGACCGTTCCTTGGCAGAAGTTAAGGGAGACAGCCCATGTATTAAGACCAGCACATTGAGTCCGGTGGCTCCGCATCTCCTGAGAGCAGCTCCAGGTCAGGGTCACCTTCAGGAGCCTCTGTCCCACCCCCGATTCCAGCGTCCCTCCTACTTGGTTGAACATGGAATTCACAAGGCCTATGTGCTTAGCATAGTTAGAAACGAACACAACTGGAATTCTATTTTCTGCAGGGAGTTCTCTCATGGGGTCTATAGAATAGACTCTAGTCGTTTGTTTTCAGGCCTACCAGGTGAGCCCAGGGTGCAGACAGCTGTGGTTGATGTGCAGAGAACAGCTTGTTGGTAAACGCCTGTGCTCCTGGGAACAGGGTGAGAGTGAGGGTCCCAGGCCTCTTTATCAGTGCCAAGTCATACTGATTAGCTTAAGCCCAGAGGCCAAGGGGAATCTGCCATCAGTGTGACATCTTAAACGATAGACATCCTAAAATTGCAGCCACCCTAAAAACGCAACCTAGCTCTGCGTCAGATGCACCCTCCCTGTGTGGAGATGGCCAGAGAAGTTTGGGTCCCTGATAGGTTTCCAAAGATGAGTATTTATTTTCCTGTCCTCAAATAATCTTTTATTAGGAAACTAGAATTATATTTCATCTTTTAATGTTTTGTAGTGAAATTCTGGGGGGAAACATTGTTTCCTTAATTCTGAGAAGATTGATGTCCTAGGAAGGCTGTCTTCCATCATCCCCGAGGTGGGTTTCAGCACAGGGCAGTCTCTCTCCCTGTTGAATTCTGGGGTGGCCAGCCCCGAGGGGCCTGAGCGTCCCCCGAGAGCAAGCAGTCTCCTTTGCCCGCTGAGCCAGTGACACGTTTCTGGGGAACCTGGACGGTTTGCTGCAGTACATTACACATTCCTGTTCACCAGGTCCTGTGCGCTGGAAACAGCCTCTCTGTCTGCAGGAAGGAAAATCTGAGAAATGTTAGTAAGAAGTAGGACCACTGGCGTCCACGTGCACAGAGCTGGGCTTCCTTCTTCGGCACAGCCATGTCCACAGGAGGAATATAAAAAATATATTATTTGCTGGGTCTCTGCACCTTCATATTTCAAAATTCCCAGACCCCTAGGGAGCAGCAGAATACATTAACAAATGTTTTTCCTTTTGGTTTTTGTTTTCAGGAGGTGCTTAGTGCAAAATTGAGTCATTCATTGGTGCATGTGACAGGGTTCTCCTGTGGCCTTGAGCTGGCCAAAGTTACTGTAGTGGCCTGAGGCAGCTCCTGGAGCCAGTTGTTTCTGTATCTTCCTCATGGGCGGTGAGAGGGGTGGCGTGTCAAGTCCCATGCCTTTCTTCTGTGAGGTTTTTGGACAGTCCTCAAGGCCTCACCCAGGGACATGGGTATAGAGTCCTGCTTGCTGGGCTTCCTAGTGCTGCCTCTGTCCTGGGAAGACTTGCCACCGCACTTACGTTTCTCTGAAAGTCTGTCCTCTACGGCCCCCAAGAGCCTTCTCTTATTTGCTCTACCAAAGTCAGTCCTAGTTGGTTTTCCTGACTGAGAGCTTCTCGTGGCGCTGATGCAAGTTCTCACGTGGCTCCTTGTCCTGGGCTCAGCAGCAAAGGCCTTTGTTCTCGTCTTTGGTTCTCGGCTGTCAGAACATGCCACATGCCGGTCTTCAAGACCCAGGCAGCCGCAGCAGGAGTCCAGCCCTGGGTGGAGGTGACTGTGCACTGTTAACCAGTGATGTCTTTCTCCACCCCAGGTCCCAGGTGTGTGATGGCGGCTGCAATCTGTCTTGTGGGTATTAATGCAATCTTCCATGGTGGCTACTGTTCTCTAGCTGTTCTACAAAACTGGAGCGTGCTGGTGAGTAACAGAGGCAGTGCCGAGCAAGCCCTTGAGGGGCAGCATGTCCCGGGCAGGGCTCGGCAGTGTCGGCCAGTGTGGTCACCTGGGACTGCAGGCCTCCGGGGCTGGGCCCAGCAGTGTGGGTGTTCTCTAGGTGCTCTGCCGGGGGCTCTTGAACACCTCCTCCAGCCTGGCCTGCCTAGGGAAACTCGTCCCAGGATAGCAACTGCTGGATTCCAAAGCACATTGCCACAGTACAGGTCCCCGCTGTGACTTTCTTAGCTGCGGCTGACACTGCTAACCTCTGGTTATCGGTAGCACCGTGGAGTGAAGTATTCCACCTAAAGGAATTTACGGAAATGGAACTTTTCCCTTTAAGCGTCAAAGCCCTTTTTTGGAAATTTACCATTTGGTTGGAAATCTATTTCAGATGTAGTGTGTATGTTCCGCCTATGTACATTATACTGAGTATAATTGTCGCTTTCTTGATGACTCGGGGACATTTTATGAGTCTCAACAGAATAGGATGATTGCCTTTGGGCATGACTGAATTATATAGGATTCTCAGTGAATTCCTCTAGACTGCTGGACTTTTCTAGTAGGTAGTGATTTTGGTGATCTGTCTTTTCAGCCGATATCACCTCATTAGCTTCTGGCAGTTTTGTGTTATCTTAAAAAAAAAAGTTGCATTCCCAGCGGTGACCTGCCTGCCAGGCTGCACGTGTAAGGGGCCTCGGGGTCTCTCCGGAAAGCCAGGCTTAGAACAGCAGGAACGCCTGGGGCAGGCCCGGCAGCGCTTTACGTCCCAAGCCAAATAAGGTAGCAGATGGCATCCCGGTGAGGGGCCGTAAGAAAGATGAGAAAGGGCGGCAGGCTTCTTGCTGTGGACAGGGAGCCAGCCATGCCGGCCACGAGGCCCTGTCTGCACCTCAGGCTCAGGCAGTCCCTTCCCAGGCTGTGCTCCACAGCTGCCTCCCACCGGCCCAGCCCCTGCCCCGCGGGGGGTTCTCCCCGTTTCTCACGTGGGCCCAGACTTAGCAACAGGTAGCGTCTTTCCACACCACGTAGGGCAGCTGGTGTTCATCTTGCTCGTTCGATACGTCTATTATTAGCTTTGCCTTTTGGTTCTTGATGCCCATGTGATTCTTATTATCACTCAGTAAAGCTGATTTAAAGGACGATTTTGTTTTTTCCCTCCTGGGGAAACTTAAAGGCCAATTAAGAGCCCACACAAAGACCAGTTAAAAGCCCACACGTGCAAGTTTTTGGAAGCAGGTTAAACGTCATTTTTCAATGCAGTAAATCAGCCAGAATGTTGTTAATTCAAGGCATGAGCACATGAGTCCAGTCACAGCAACAGCAACGGGAGCAAGGGGGATGGATTTCTTGACACCACGGAACGGCCTAGTGACGAGGGACTGAAAAGAAAGGGGAGAACTGGGATGTGGTCATGGGGACAGCTAAGGGCCAGTTTGCAGACACCCCAGGGATGCCAGAGGAAGTGGGCAGCTGGCCAGCTTGGAGGGAGGAGCGGCTGTTCTCAGCATTAACCGTGTTGGTTGTGACTTGCTGCTGCTCAGGGCCATCCCTGATTACAGGAGTGAGTTTGGAGGAGGCTTTTATCTGCTAGAATCTGAGATCAGGTGCCGCCACTTATGGCCTGCCTTTGGCGGGCAGAGATGGGCTGGGCTGTGAGGAGGGATGATCTCCATCTTCCCGGGGATGGGCCTTCCTTGCCCGGGTGGGAGCTGGAACCACAGGAAATGGCTGAGGCAGCGGCACACACTGTGACCACCGGCCAGGGAATGTGGCAGAGGGCAGTCTAGGATTGTTGTCTGGGGCAGAGCAGGGTTGCTAAATGCAGAAAACTGTTCTCTAGAGACCGTGAACTTTTAAAATGATGTGTTATTTATTTATTTTTGGAGCCAGGTTCTCTCTTGCTCAGGCTGCAGTGTAGCGACACGATCATGGCTCACTGCGGCCGTGACCTCCTGCCTCAACCTCCTAGATAGCTGGGACTATAGATACCACGCCTGGCTAACTTTTTTATTTTTTGTGGCGACGGGGTCTTGTTATGTTGCCCAGACTGGTCTCAAACTCCTGGTTTCAAGCAGTTCTCCCACCTTGGCCTCTCAAAGTGTTGGGATTACAGGTGTGAGTCACTATGCTCAGCTGTGACATGGTTTTTAAGTGTCTTTTTATTACAAATTAATAGCAGTATTTTTTTAAAAGATCAAGCTGACAGGTATAAAGTGAAAACTAAACCACTAATTAATTAAAAACTGTCATCATACGCTGGCCATTTTCATTTGGAGTTGGATAAAGGAAAATATTCGTTAACTGATTTTTGGTAAGAAGGAAGAAGAAGGGACAAACTCCGGAGGAGGAAGTCACTGGTGACAGGCCAGGCATCTGTATGTGGGGGATTTCTTCTTACCACGGGACACTGGACAGAGACTGACTTGGCGCGGCAGAGCCTTGAGTGCAGCGAGAGTGGCCTCTTCAGGCCTTTGCCAGCCAGCCTCTGACCCCCACACCCCTCAGCAGCTGTCCCCAAGCTTTCCCATCAAAGACAATTGAAACAAAATGTTTTAGAATTGCATAATATTCCTTAAGATCCCTGGAGACATCCTCTGGTGTCCTTAAACTGGGACTGTCAATGTACCATATACAAGGAGATTTGACGCGTTCCTTTATGTTCCATCACACGCATGTTTCCCTGCTTCAGGCTCTGAGGAAAATCTGCTCCTAACCAGAGCCTGACCCTGCTCTGTGTTCCCGGATGTCTTTGGATTCTGTTTAAAATGTCCTTGCTAATGCATTCCAAAGTTTGAACTCCGTTCCTAGCTAAACCTCTTCCTTGTTTACAGGGACTGAAATAGCCACATTCTGACCTTCTGTTCAGTCTGGGGACATCTACAGCAATGTGGATGCATTCTTTTCCCATGTGAGGATTACACTGACATGGCACAGTTATGGAAGGTTTGGGAAACTATAGACCATCTCCCTCTTCCTTTCTTCTCCGCCCATGTTTTTTTCACTTCAAAACAACAGCCTGTTTCATCAGCCAGAGCTCCCAGACTCTTGTGCCTTACTTCCTGCTTAGGGGTCCAGGGAGAAGGGAACAGAGTATCAGGAAGTCAAGATGGGGTGTTGATTGCCCAGGAAAGCTGCAGTGCCTCCCTTTCCCTAGAGGTAGTGGCTTCCTGGGGCCACAGCTGCCTGGTGAAGGTGCTCAGGGATGCTCAGGTCTGGTGCGCAGAACCCGGAGCAAGCCCCCAGGCTCAGCCTCTTGCTCCCGGGCCAGCCCTTATGGATACCACCTTATCAAGTCTAGGGGCCCAAGTCTCAGTGCCACGGGCTGTCACTCCCCTCTTTTGCCCTAGGGTCCAAGTGTCTGAGTGGAGGGTTTCACTTCTGCTCATGGCAGGTGACCAGAGTTGAGGGAGGAGGAGCTAGAGAGAGGAGGAAAATCATAAAGGTAACCCCTGCGAAAGCCAAAGGCCAGGACCTCCTGCTAGGCGGCTAGGGGAGGAAGCCCAGCCGGCTGAAGGGATCAGGAAATAGAAGCTTTTCGGGTCTTTTTTGAGTCAGAGTCTCACTCTATCGCCCAAGCTGGAGTGGAGTGGCACACTCATGGCCACCCCAGTGTCAGCCTGCTGGGCTCATGCAATTCCTGCGCCTCAGCCTTCCAAGTAGCTGGAACTCCAGGCACACGCTAGTTTTTCATACCCGGCTAGTTTTTCTTGATTTATTGTAGAGGTGAAGTTTTGCCAAGTTGCCCGGACTGGTCTTGAACTCGTGGGCTCAGACAGTCCTCTCACCTCAGCCTCCCAAAGTGCTGGGATATAGGCATGTGGGACCATGCCCAGCAGGAAATGTGGTCTGAAATACAGTGGGGCTTGTATCTGCCAAGAGGGAATGAAACAAGAGAAAGTAAGAACACGCACAGCATGTTCTTGTTGAAAGAAGACCGCAGCCAAGCTTTTGAGGGCCTTGAAGGGTATGTTAGTGGTTTGGGACTTGGGGAGCCACTGGAGGGGTTTGAGGGGCAATGCTTTAGCAATTATTGCCATCTTGCTGCCAAAAACAAAAGACTAAGATTCTAAGGCCAGGTGTGGTGGGTCAAACCTGTATTCCCAGCACTTTGGGAGGTCAAGGCAAGAGGATTGCTTGAGCCCAGGGGTTCGAGACCAGCCTGGGCAACTTGGCGAGACCTTCTCTCTACAACAATGAAAAAATTAGCTGGATGTGGTGGCGCATGCCGGTAGTTCCAGCTTCTTGGAAGGCTGAGGCAGAAGGATCACCTGAGCCAGGGGCTCAAGGCTGCTGTGGCCATGAATGTGCCACTACACTCCAGCCTGGGCCACAGAGTGAGGCTCAGACTAAAAAAAAAAAAAAAAAAAAAATTCTAGGTAGACACTGGTGCCAGGGGGGCAGCACCACGGTGATGGTGACGGTAGTTTGCGGGAGGCAGAGAGCCAGGCTGTCGGGGTCACTGTGAGGGATGGGGTACCCCCCGGGACAGGAGCAGGGACAGAGAGACATGTTTAGTTATGGTGTGGTGAAATCTTGGCAGAAGTGTCAGGAAAGGGCTGAGGACGGGGACGGGAAAGCCATGTCCAGGAACTGGCCGTGGGGCATCCGCCTGGGGTCATCGGGCTCTTCAGAGAACAGAGCAGACCCACCAAGCCCTGCCAAGCGCAGTCTGGGCTGGAGAGATGCAGGGACTTCACCAGCTCACCCCAGTGGCCCAGCCCACAGGAAGGAGGGCTCACCGCGGCCACTTCCCTCGCCCGGTTCGCCCAGTCCCTGAAAGCCATGGCAGCTGTGGTGGCAGGTCTTTGGTCTTGATGTTGTGTCACCATATCTAGGTCCAGCTGCTTTCCCAGGATGGCGCTCTCACGGCCTACACCCAGGCAGGGGCGTGGCAGCATCCAGGCCACCTGGGTTCCCAGAGTCCAAGGGCTGCCTGCCAAGTGCTGTCCCCTGTGAATTGTTTCAGAGCAGGAACGGCTGTAGAGCTGTCCTCAGAAAGGGTTTCCTGGAACCGCCACACACGGCTTGGGCTGTGGAGGAAGGAAACTGGCCTGGCATCAGCTCTTTGAGCCAGTTTCACTCCGCTGTTGAGGGGAGCGGTCATTGCCTCTCCACAGTTGAAGATTCTCTTGGAGGAGCAGTGTCCTTGGGGGAGGTTCCTTTGGCAGTTAAAGGGCAGCGAATCAGACATTCGTGAGGATGAGTCAGGCCCGAGAAGGCCATGGGCTCACGAGGGAGCTTCAGCTGCTGCAGCCCCTAAGCACTGCAGCTTCACATCCTGACCTGTGTAAAGATGCTCCAGCCCTGGGCACCCTCCTCACCCAGGTCTCCTTCAACCTGTGGGACCCCAGTGCCCCACCCACTTCTGGGCATTATTCAAGGTGTGGCAGAAAAGATGGGTAATTTCCAGAGGAGTCCTGCTGGCTCTGCCTACTAAGCATCACAGGGTGCACGGCCCCGACCAGAGATGGGTGTGAATGGGCCCTGCCCACTTGGATTTCCTCACCATAGAATATATGGGGAGTAGAGGGTGTCCCCACCAGCGGGAGGCAGAGGAATCAGAAAATGAGATTTTCCTGAAGGAGTTTACCTCCTTGTTCTCTCCTACGAGAGACAAATCCTCCTGATTGAGAATTCTGCCCGGAAAGTGAAGGCAGGACACGGAAACAGGAACAGGATCACCACGACTGTGCGTGTCAAGCCCTCAGAGCTAGAGTTGGGAGCATTTCTTAATTGGAGGGCTCTCTAGTTTGGCCTCTCTCTACAACGAGCATACTTAAATTCATGTGCGAGGGCTAATTTATTATGTGCAATAAGCTGAACAGACAAGTCTTAGTGTAATGTCACAGATAAAGTTCAGGGTGTCCAGTTCCCTGCTGGAAAGCTCTGCCTGGCTTTCTCCCATGATGCACAGGCATGAGGTGGTCATGTTAGGTCTCAACAGGCAGGCCGTTATTATTTCCACCCACTCGTACTGTCGTCCCAAAACGGGGATGTGGAAAGATACACTGGCTTGTAGTTTGGATTCCGGTGCAGCCAGCATTACACAGATTTGGCTTGTATAGGAATATTTACAGGATACATGGTAGCATCTATTTAATGTGCGAGGGCTAATTTATTATTTGCAATAAGCTGAACAGACAAGTATTAGTGAATGTCACAGATAAGGTTCAGGGTGTCCATAAGCTAGTTTGAGTGGTCACCTGAGTACAAGTGGGACCCAAAAACACCTGTATTTATAGAAAATTACGTATTTACTCTTACATGTTTAAACTTCAGTCACCTTTGAAGGACAGTCCCATTTATACAGTACCCCTATCAAGATGCTTTTTCCACTGTTCAAAACGCTTCCCCTTGAGGACTTTTTCATCGGGAAGCAAAAAAAAGCTGCTGGGAGTGACAGCAGGTGAATAGGAAGGGTGGGCATGGGGCTCATGCCACTTTTGCTCAGCTCAGTGTGGGCAAGTGTGTTGTCATGTTGGTAGAACCATTCCGCTTGCCGCTGCTCAGGACTTTTCTTCCACAAATCATGATGCAACCTTCTCAAAACTTCCAGATAAAAACTGGTTGACTGTTTAGTCTGGAGGAACACATTCCGAGTGTACTACGAGGGGCCTGTTCTCCAAAAGACAATTCTGGGTTTTTTGGGGTCCCCCCGGGTATTTGCCTAATTTTCAACTTAACATTCAGCATGTTTTCCCAAACAGTCAAATAGATTGTTGCCAACAATGATCTATTTTCTTTATAGCCTCTTCTCGCACACAAATAAGCATATCTCTGTGCAGTCCTAGAATGTGCTGATTTACAGCGGCACACACCTTTTCTACAACCTCACTTAAAAGAGTCTGACATGTAGGAAAGATGACAAGAAGCAAGGGACTTGGGAGGTGGAGAAAGAAAAGGAAAATTAATGACAGAATAACACAGCGGAGCTGAGATGTGTTTAAGAAAATCTTCAGGACCAGGGTAGAACTCTGTCCATAGGCATCAAAGACTTCAGTGATCGTTTGATCATCTTTTTCTTCTGCCACAAAGCAAAACAAATCCATGAGCATTTTCTTCCAACTTCAGTGGAAGGAGATCTTAAAGAGTTTCTATTATGTAAGCGATAATAAATGGAAATTAAATAGATGCTGCTACCCACGTATCGAAGGTGAGACCACTGATAGGGTGTGTGCAGTCTTTAACTAGAGGGCATGTGTTTATATACACACGTCCACATGCACACTGTCACCAAAACCAGCCATTCTGTCCAGAGGCATCTCCAAAATGAAGGCATACCAGCTAGAGAGGAAGTACTGCACGCAGTGTTGACAGCTGTTCTCCTGTTTCCTTTGTTTCAGGCTTGAAAAAAACCGTGCCCAGTTTTGATCCCTTCAAGACTTTGCCACAGCCTCTATCACACATCTGTTTTTCTTGAAGAAAAATATATAATAAAAATGTTTTACTCTTTTACACTGTATAATTGTAAGAAATAGTGTGTTATTTGTGAGTGCATGGTCTGACATTTCTGTACAGTTTGAAGATATTTTCAAACGAAACATAAAGGAAGTCAACAATAAAACCAAGAAAGTGAGTATTTTTATACCAGACATTTTAAGTATTATGGGATAGATGATCTTACACTGGGTTGGATCACAATTTTTGTGCTTGACTTTTGAATGCCTGTAATTAAAAATATCTATTTTTTTCCTCTAAAATAAGCTGCATGTTTGAGGCATGTTTCTAAGTATTATCAAAGTTTCCAGGACTGTCTTGTGAATGTATAGAAGCCTGTTTGCCTGGCCGGAGTCCAGGGTAAATTAGTCACTTGGTGTTAGATGTTAGAAACAGAACTGTCGTCTGCAGTATCAGGTCTACATCCCAGTTCCACAGGACAGCCCTGCAAGACAATCAGAACCCAGGAGCTTCTGCCATGATGGCTTATTCACAGCTGGGCAAATAAAACTTTCATTGGTTAAAAACTCCTGACCAGAATGTGCCCTTGGAAAGCCCTGGCAGTTCCAGATGTGACTATACAAACTGTGTGCCAAGTGTGTGTTTTTGCAGTCTTACGTTTTCTTTTGCAAGAGCACGCACCCATGTGTGTAACCACTCAACGCAGAACTCACCTGTAGGCCTCCCTGTTCCCCGGTGGAAGTGCAGAGCCGGCCTCACTGATGAGGGAAAGCAGTGGCTTGGGAGGCCAGCCCTGCCCCATGTCCGGCCTGGCCTCTCCCAACCCACTTGGCTGCAGTGGGCCGCTCATCGCTTCAAAGTGATTTTGTAAAACACCGGCCAAACCGAGCTGGTGTTGCCAAGTCTTGGCAGCACCGGGCCAAATGGACAGACCACCTAACACGCGCTCTGGAGCAGCGCGTGCGCACTGTGAGATGACTTTCTGGACCGCACAGGAGATGGGGAAGCAGTGGGTGTCTGGATCAAGTACTTCCCAGCCTTCACAAGACTCCTTCAATACCAAAGTCAGTCTTGTGCTGTGAGTTGACACATCTCCAGAGTCTGACAGCTCAACCTCTCCCCCTTCGTACAAGAGCCATGCATAAAATTATTTTCAACTGCTGATGTAACCAAATGAGATCACAATTCTCCTTACTAATCTGCTCACCTTGTGTTGTAAACTTCAGTATTTCGATGATTATATAGTTGGTTTGGGTTTTTGTTTGTTTCATTCTTTTTCACTAGAAATAAAGATGTCAAGAAGCTTTTCAGGGTCATCACAGAAAACCAACAAGGCCAGGAGTGAGGGGCTCTTTCTTACCATCAATAAGGAGAAAGGGCAGTTAGTGACTTGGGGACCCGAGACGAGTCCACTTGGTGTTCAGGGACGTGCTCATGCCCTCAGTGCTGCTTGGCTCTCGGTGAGACTCCTGTATTCATTTCTAAAGAAAACAGCCACCTCTACACGGCCCTTTATGCTTTTATAAACTGTCTGAAGGTACTTTTCTATTGTCATTTTTAAAAAAATAAAAGTGTTTATTCCAGCTGTCACACCAATGCTTGGCAATTTTTTTATTTTTATTTTTTTAACAACCACCAAATGCATCCCACACTGCGAACGAGAGGCTGGCGGATTTCCTTCTCGTTTTCAGGCTGTGGCCACTGAGCTAAGGCGCAGGGAGGCTAAAGGAGGAAAACCACGTAGCACAGCTAGAGAACAACCCCAATATGCTCCGCGGCAGCCACTTGGTCACCACGCTGACGCCAGAGGCATGAGGAACTCAAGGTAGACTCTCACACCTTTTTGAGATGCCTTTGACTATACTCAGCTGTTTTCCACACCCACCGCAGTCCACACAGCTCGAGCTCAAGATTATTTCAATTCTATTAAAGTGTCACTTAGGTTTTCTGCTGTCTTAAATATATTTAACAAGGGATAAACCCATAGCCAAGACAATCATGTTTTATATACATGTATACACACGTACACATATATACATTTTATATGCCTATTCTTCCCCCAAAGGAGAAGAGAAAAAACGGTGTTTTAAGTCCACTAGTAACTGAGTCTCACCGGGCCCCAAGACGGCCTCTCACAGAGGATGCCACCTACCAAGTATCATGCGTGGCCACTGCCGTCCAATCCCCTGGGACTCTAGTAACTATAGAAAGTGAATGTGCAGCTTCTGCAGCCGGGCCTGGAGTCCGTATCAGCATGGCTCTCTGGGACAGGGCTGATGCTTTCCTCATCTGTGAGCTCCCAACGCAAAGGTACCAGAAATACCAAGCAGCCCAGGAATGGAAAGCGACTCACTCTTGAGCTTGGCTGACTCAACTGCCCTGGCCCCCCCATCCCAACCATTCACTGGCTGAACACACAGTCACTTCCTTAGGATTCTTCCCAAGGGCCTTGGGATGGGGTGCCCCAGTCATCACCATGCTGACAGTCTGGATGGTGTTTTCCAACCCAGCGTGGGTTCCAGATATATTCCCATCTACCAGCCAGTTGAATACCAACTTCATTACTGTCCAAAAAACTACGCTTTCTGTCACTATTGAGCAGGAATGAATGCAGTGTGTCTTGGGAAAAGAAAGGCAGCTGGTGTGTCTGTAGGTTCCCAAAAGATGGTAACTAAGCCATCTTTTTATATTATTACTGAATGGACCCTCATTAACACAGCCATCATAGCTATAAAATTAGCATCTGAAATGAAACATTACACGTGCAACCTCTATAGCAAAATTGTAAGTTAAAGGAATCTGAAAAGGACAACTCACAGAATCAAAGTGTCTGTGTCTGCCCTACTTTTGTGGACTAACTTGGCAGTTAGTGAGGCTCTCCCAATCCCTATGCCATGGCAGCCTTGAGCCCTGAGCTGTGTTTCCTAAGGAGGATAACATTCTTAGGAACAATGGAGGCAGGGCTGATGTCCTTGAGTTTTCAATATGCAAAGCAGTATTGGTGTCTGACAAGGAGATATGTAGGAATCAACTAGTAATTTTTTTTTTTTGAGAGGGTCTCACTATGTTGCCCAGTGGCTACTCACAGGCACGATCATCACATCCTATAGCCTCAAACTCCCAAGCCCCCGAGTAGCTGGGAGTACAGGCATGTGCCACTGCTCTGGGCTTAAAGCAAACACTTCTGAGCGTTTTGGGTTGGACATGCTGTGTACATAGCTTCCAAGAGCAGTCTTTCTTTTTTTAAGAATATCGGGCTGGGTACAGTGGCTCACACCTATATCCCAGCACTCTGGGAGGCAGAGGGGAGAGGACTGCCTGAGCTCAGGGGTTCAAGACTAGCCGGGGCAACATGGTGAATCCTTGTCACTATGGTAAATGAAAAAATTAACCAGGCGTGGTGGTGCACGCCTATAGTCCCAGCTACTTAGAAGGCTGAGGCAGAAGGATCGCCTGAGCCCAGCAGGTCATGGCTACGGTAGCCGTGAGCATGCCACCGTACTCCAGCCTGGCTGACAGAGCAAGACTCTGACTCAATTAAAAAAAAATTAGCACATGGTTCCTCTCTTACTCTTCAACTCTTAAACCAATCTCTCACTCTCATTATGCAAAACAATTTTGCAACATTCTTAGAAAACTGGACTATTTATTACAGGTGAGGTGTTATTGGAAACACTGGTCCCAAAATGCCTCTACTAAAGCTAGTAACTGATGCTCAAGAACTCTGTAGTCAGCAAAATGATTCAGACCCCCAAACTGGGAAGATTTAAGAACTGTCACCACAAAGCTGCTTTCTGCCACTGCTGTGGAACAGCCCGGATGGTGCTAACATGAACTCCTCCCTACCCTGGCCTGGCAGGTCCCTAAAGATGCCGCTGGGCTGTGAGGACTCTTCCTCCTGTTTTAGCTTTTCTGCAGCTCTCCTGTGACAACCACGAGTTCTCTCTTGCTGTTGCCTTGGTTCTAACCACACTGATTCCTGCTTGGGGGGGGGCTTCCCACAAACCATAATATAATTTGCCTGTAAATAAACAAAACAGTGAAACCTTCCATTCTCCACTGCTCCATAGATCTCACTTATGGAAGGTCCGAGGGGGAAGAGACCAGGTCGTTTTGTTCCACACGTGCAATTGATGGTTTCAAGTGGAACTCCTTAAGCAAATTAGAAACCTGATGATGCCAGATGCTTAAGTTCAACAAACTATTGAGCAAAAAGGACAGCCTAAATGCAATGAGGGACTGGGTGTGGTGACTCACACCTGTAATCCTAGCACTTTGGGAGGCTGAGGCGAGAGGACTTCTTGAGCCCAGGAGTTTGAGACCAGCCTGGCCAACACAGCAAGGCCTCGTCTCTACTAAAAATCAAAAAAATTCACCAGGTGTGGTGACCGCCTGTAGTCCCAGCTACTCAGGAAGCTGAGATGGAAGGATCGCCTGAGCCCAGGAGTTCAAGGCTACAGTGAGCTATAATCATGCCACAGCACTCCAGCCTGTGGAACAGAGTGAAACTCCAACTCAATAAAAGTGATGCAATGAGAAATGGTGCTAAGTTAAAATATTTACCTGGAGAAAGCAGCACTTTTCTCCTGCAACTGGAACATGTCCCTTGGGTGTGAGTGCTTGGTGAGCACACTCAGAATTTGACAACAATCATGTGCAAGGTAAACCTGCTCTTAGCGTTCCTGGAGCTGGTCCTGCCAATTTCAGGATATAACTTACTCAGTTATCCCTTGTGGGTACCTTCTGTGTTTTCTAATTTAAAAAAAACTGAAGCGAGGCTAAGACTCTCCTTTGAAGTATGATTCCTGCAAAGTTTTGGGTGAATGAAAGTCACTGGGTCTTCACCAGGGTCTTGGAGCCACCGGGTGTGAGTCACCAGACGTACCCGGCCCCACTCTGAACCAGCAGAGCTGGAACAGGCCCACAACCCCTCACCTGTGACAGTGGCCTTGTCTGTCTGCTGAAGAGTGACCGTCCACAGCTACTTCTAGGAAAATCCTTCTTTGAAGGAAATGAGCTTTGTTCTTTAAAGCCCAAGGAAGGTCATGGCACAATGCCAGGGCCTATTCTAGCCCCAGGTTTCCAAGGGTGCCTCCCCCAACTCAAGACAGGATAGGGACGGGGGTGGGTTCCAAGGGCCAGGTCACCTCAGCAGCAGTTTCCAGGAGGCCTTCGAACCGTCCCCACCCAACTCCCCCAGAACACCTACTCCTCAGCACAGTCCCACAAACCCACATCAGAAACGCACCATCCTGCATGTGGCTCCAGGACCACAATGAGCGTGCTCAGAGGCCACAGGCTGCAGGGGGCACCAGGCCAGGCTTGTTCACAATCAGTAAAACCCTAGGAAGCCCACATCTTCCCCACAAATTAATCACGCAAAAGTAAAAACAGTGGCTAGAGGGAAGAGAGGAGCTGAGCCTCATCTTCTGTGCCTCAGAAAACTGCCATCTGCTGGGAAGAATTGGGGAACTTATCAACCCCAATGCCCTAGTCCCACAAGACCGCTTATGTTCAGAACGCATTGCTGCTGCCAGTGATTTCAAAGAACTCGTGAAACGCACCCCAGCTGCAATCGCAGGCCCTCAGGCCCAGGGCTGGAAGGAAGAGGCTGCGCCCACACTGCCTTCCACTACACTCTGCTCAACAGGTATCAGGTGCTCCTCTGTCCCCCAGGTCCCACCATCAGCTGGCCACCCTTACAAGCTGTGACAGCAGCAGCCAGATGTTCATTTTTTACACTCTGTCTAGGCTCCACGACATTTCTCTTAGCTCTCCCCTAAAAGCCTCACATGACTGATGAATTATAGATCAAACACATACAGCCTGTCTCAACCTCTTAACTCACCCAGCCGTGCCATTCCCACTTGCTTCTAAATGGCCCGCAGAGCCAGCAGAAATGGGCCGGGGTGAGACATGACTGACTGTAACTTGGGACTTCTGGTGGATATGTCTTCAGATGCCCAGAACTGCTAAGACACTTACTTTCTACAGGCACACACACCTCAGACGTATTGCAGATTTGGGTCCAGACCATGGCAACAAAGCAGGTCACGCAAATATTTTGCTTCCACAGTGTATGTAAAAATTATGTTTATGAGTTATACCCAAAAAACAATGTATAGACCTTCACTTAAAAGTATTTTGGAGCCGGGCTTGGTGGCTCAGCCTGTAATCCCGTGCCTTTGGGAGGCTGAGGTGAGTGGATTGCCTGAGCCCGCGAGTTCGAGACCCACCTGGGCAGCAAGACCTCATCTCTACAATAAATAAAAAATCAGCCGGGCGTGGTAGCGCGCGCCTATAATTCCAGCTACTTGGAAGGCTGAGGCGGAAGGATCGCCAGAGCCCAGCAGGTAGAGGCTGCAGCAACTGGGAGCGTGCCACTGCACTCCAGTCTGGGCAACAGAGTGAGACTCCAACTCAAAAAAAAAAGTATTTTGGTTCGAGACCCACCTGGGCAATTTGGTGAGACCTCATCTCTACAATAAAATCAAAAAAAATCAGCCGGGCGTGGTAGCGCACGACTGTAGTTCCAGCTACTTGGAAGGCTGAGGGGGAAGGATCGCTGAAGCCCAGCAGGTTGAGGCTGCAGCAACTGGGAGCGTGCCACTGCACTCCAGTCTGGGTGACACAGTGAGACTCCAACTCAGAAAAAAAAAAGTATTTCATTGCTTTAAAAAAAAAGCCAACAAAATGAGCACATGCTGTTGGAAAAATGGCACCACCAAACTTGCTTGAAGCAGGGTTGCCACAAACCTTCCATTTGGGAGGAAAACCCCCACCATATCTACAAAGAGCTGTAAAGCAAAGCGCGAGACCATGAAGCATGCCTGTATTGTGGCCATCAAATATAACCAGGCTCCTACTGCAAGCTTCCCACAAAGTCTGTGTCCTCCTACACGTCACCAGTGACACACCCCAGTACCGCGACACAGGCATGTGGAAGAACCACTCTCACATGTAGTAGGCAAAGGGGATCAAGGTTCAACAAAAGAAAATGTAGGAAAATGAGACAAAGCCATAGAGAATCTGCAAGTTTGGCGACTCAGCAAGTCACACCATTTTCCTCACTTCTGAAATGAGTTTCAGACACAATAACCGAACTCAGTGACCAAGCCAGTTCACGGAGTTCTGATGAGCATGGGCATAGTGAGCAGTCACTAACAATACCCACCTGGCAGTAAAGCACTTATATCAGAATCCATAATGAAGGTCTTGACATGTCCCCTTGAAATAAGATGAGGCGTTTGAGCTGCATCCTACTTGCAGCTTTAGACCCAGCCCATAAAATAAGATGGAGGGTACAGCCCACAAAAGAAGGCATCTCCTGGAGATAAAAGAGCCCCAAGTTTTTACAGGAAAGCCAGTTTTATGCCATAAGACGTTAAAGCTCCTGCTTACCAGCAAAACACTTCTGACACACGGCAGTAGGACTTCATGTGTTCTGAATCTTCGTGGAAAAGCTTGGTTTTACATCCTCTCATTCCATTTTGAAGCAGGCTACTGTAAAGGGATGGGATAAACAGAAAGGATAAAAAGAACTAAAAAAGCAAAATGGCCCCTTGTCATCTGCACAGAGTACTTACTGCTGGGGTGACTATCATGCCTTGAGAACCAAGCCTTGCTATGACATGAGGATTGTGACATCAGCCCAAAGGACGACAGCAGACCATGTAAAAAGCGCAGGTAGGAAAACGCAGGCTCTGCCCCAGAAGGCAGGAATGACCACGTCAATTTCCCACAAGTCACTCAGACTCTAAAGGACTCTCACATGTTTGATAATGGCTCAGGAGCCGGGCCGGTAGCCTGGGGACAAAAGGCGTCTCCACCAGAAGAATCTCAGGGTCAAGTCACGTGAGGGTTGGGACACGGCAATGATGATGTTCAAGTTGGCAAACAAGACTCTGTCCATCCCTGTGCAACATGGAGTCAGACTACCCTGGAACTCACTAAATCCAAGACACTACACATTGATTTGTTCTTTTGAAAGAAAACATTAACAATTCCATTTAGTGCATCTTGATCGCTCAACGTGCTAACAGGAGGCATGCCTTGTATTCACTTCTGTGGCAAAACCCACATACTCAGCAACACAGTGCAGGCTCCATCTTCACAACAGCCCAAACACGTGCCCCGTGGAGGTCAGAGCCTGGGACTGCTTCCTACTGTTCCCAAGAAGGAAAGAAACAAACGGAACTCATTAACATCATAAAAATCCATCTACAATGATTTTATTATAAATATGTTCTTTTGGAATAAACAAATATTGCCACCAAGACTATCTGCAAACTTGCTCTAAAAGTAATAAAAGAGGGAGAATGGAACCAGGACCCATGTAGAAATAGAGATAAACAGCAAGGACACCTGCATGCCATGCTCAGTGCCTTTCTCCCAGGAAGGAACAGAAGGGTGACAGGGAAATCGTTTCTCATTTGCCCATTCAGTTAAAATAAGCTTTGAGGTTGGTATCGGCACTTGTTCTGTAAACTGAGCTGGCTCCTCTCCTCAGTCCTGGGAAGCAGAATGGAAGACAGTCAGTCTTCAGACCCCAAGCATCAACAAGAAAGATCTTGACTGTGTATCCAAAGCTCACTGTTCAGGGGCAAAACTGTTCCTTATTTGCCAGGAGTAATGTCGGAGTAATCCTTCAGCACTCCAGCCAAGTGTTCGTTATGAGTCTTAAATCGACGCTTTTTCTGTGAAGCAGGCTTTTTCCTTCTCTGAATAGGGGCCTAAAAGAAAAGGTAAAAATAGAAACAAGAGTTACTCGGAAGGGCAGGATTTAAACATGCCCAGAGACCAGCAGCCAAGGATGCAGGGCTTGGACCTATCCTGCCCTCTGCAGTCCAGCATCACACACCAGCACCGTACATGCCTCAACCAGGCCTGGTACCTTGTCACAGTGAGATGCAAACTCCATCAGGAATAAACGAGCTGGCATGAAAACTCACCAGAATGATTCTAGGCACTAAGTGGGTAAAACAAATACAGCGAAGCTTTTTGGGTTTTATCTGTTATCAGGTTTAAAAATATATCCACCATTACCAGTGAAAAAAGATTAGAAGTAAATGTGGCAAAATACTGAGAAATGGTTGGACACATGAAGGTCTTCAAGTCATTCTGTTCTCCTTTCTTTCAAAATATTAAGCATCGCATGATAAAAAAAAAATAAACACACAAAAATAGGAAACTAGGCAGGACTGCAGTTACACTCACTTGTGAACAGACCACCAGCAAGGAATCCTCCCTTTTTATGTGTCCTAGATAGTCACTAAGTAAAACACATACGCACCCCAGAAAGCCACAAAGAAGACAGGCTACAAAGCATGAGGGAGGACAAGGCGAGAGAGAGGGAGGCTCAGCAGTCACGATCTAGGGTGCTGGAGCATTGTTCCTCACCCTGCTTTGCTCTTGGACTACAGATCGGGTAGCTGGTACAAGGCAATTTACAAGTCTTCAGAAGATTACTGTGCCTAAGGGACCTGAAAATCAAGGACAAATCAGTGTGCTCAGGACTGTGCAGAGTCAGGTGCCAAGACCTCCAGGTTCATGGAGCAAGTGGGAAGCACAGTCAAGGTCCAAAGGCCAAGCAGATGACGCCGCGGGCTCTCAGAGGCGGGGAGAGATGTGTGCGGTGGACTGGAGGTGGAAGGGGGCGGCATGCAGACCTGAGAAACAGTTCCAAGCAACTGCATCTCAAGGGTGGGCACTGCCAGAAAGGAGCTGGAGGTGTGGGAAAGGCTCTCGCAGGCCTAGGGCTGCAGCAAGGCAGGGCCACTGGCCCTCAATACGTCAGACCCAGTCTGGGCTGTGTCTGACCAAATCGCTGGATTAGGACACTGAAAACACAGGCAGGAGAACAACCACCTGTGCTTCAGAAAGCAGAATGGGAGGCAGGCTAGCCTGTTCAAGGACATGGGGCTCAACCGCTTTTTTGGAGATCACATACCACTTTCTTTGGTCCAGACTCCTGCATGGAAGAAATACCCTGTCGCTTCAGATATTCTTCAATTTTCTCCTCATCCATTGAATCCACAGTGACGCTCCTCCACAGCTTCTGAAATTCTGAACCAAAGAGATAGTAGTGGTTATTTTATCATCGATTCTAACGAACCATAGTCTAGCATCTTGGTGATCGCAGTCCAGGCTTCAACATGATCTCCTCTGGATCTAAACAAGCAAATCCATCACTATAAAAACAAAGAAACCGGGCAAGAGCATTCACATTATGGAGCCTGTGCAGGTAAGAGCCTGGAGACAGAGCTGCACCCGCGCAGCTTCAGAGGCCAGCAAGCGAAGGGCGACGTGACCGAGGCTGCCCGGCTTTCCTGGGAAGAAAGTCCCTCTTCCTGAGACTCCTCCATTTTGAGCAAAGAGCTCCAATTCCTGCCTGGCTCCCCAGCTCAGTACCCTCCACCTCCTCTCCAGCTGACAACAGGGAAATGCAGTCGATGGCAGTGAAATGCTGTAACTATTTACTTGCAAAAGGAACTTCTGAAACCAAATAGCCTTGGGGTTGGTGACTAAGAGGACATGAAAGAGAAAGGGAGAAAGAAATGAAACAGAAACACTGTCTCCCCCAACCCCAACACAAGGAGGATGCCACCATCTGGCCTAAGGCCCGTGTCTTGTCCTCAGAGGCCTGTGCTCCCTCTGCCACATCTCCATTTTTGCAATCAAAAGAGATCACAACTGGGACACACCCGAAATGAAAGTTGTTCACACCTTACTTTCTGAACCTATAGACAAATGGGCTCTAACACCTGGGTTCACTTAATTACCAGCATCTACTTTTTCTTTTCTTTTTTTTGAGTTGGAGTCTCACTCTGTCACCAAGACTGGAGTGCAATGGCCACTCTTGGCCACTGCAGCCTCGACCTGCTGGGGTCCGGCAATCTTTCCGCCTCAGGCTTCCAAGTAGCTGGAACTACAGGCGCATGCTACCACGCCCGGCTGATTTTTTATTTATGGTAGAGATGAGGTCTCGCCAAGTTGCCCAGGCGGGTCTCGAACCCACGGACCCAGGCAGTCCACTCACCTCAGCCTCCCAAAGGCACGGGATTACAGGCTGAGCACCAGCATCTACTTTCAAACACAAAGAGCTTCTGACAGCAAAGCCATAACCCTTACATACTCTTACCAAGAAAAAGGGAAGGTCCCTGAGTGCTGGGGTAGTTTCTGGGCCCCTGCTTGAATTCCTCCCTCCCCCATCCCTGCACAGCACCGCCCTCCCTTCTTCCTTCCAGGGCATTAACTTTCCATAGCACAGACAACTCTGGGATGGAACAAAATGCTCTTCCATTTCCTCTATTCTTCCATCCTCCTTTCTTATTTCAGTCCCTACTACGTGAAGCAAATGATGCCAAACAGTCGGGACTATGGTAACACTGTGGAAACCTCTTTTCTGCTATACACCCTGAAGCTTTTTGTTACTGGTGACCAAATGCAAAAATGGAATAACCTACTACAAAGGATTCAACCTAGGTACAACCCAAAATACCTCTAAGTATTTTTCAATTTCCATAGATAGATTGGGGTTCTTTCTACTACATGCTCACTGAACTTCTACCTGCATATGTTATGGATATTACTAACTGGCACCAAATGTTTGTCTGCATGACTTTCTCAGCCTCCTGAGTAAGCTCCTTGAGGGCAGGGAACCCTATTCATCCAGTTCCCACAGCAGTCGGCAGTGGACCTAGCACACACAGGCTGTCAACAGCTTGACTACTGAATGGATGAAATACTACGGTCTACATGGCCTAGACAACACAAACTAATTTTTCTTTTCACATTGTTTAGACTTAAGATATTAAAACTTACTAACACCGACACACTACTATTAACTCACTGACAGACCTTACTCACATTTGACTAGTTTCACCACCAATGCCTTTTCCTGGTCCAGAATCCATACCAGGATCCCACACTGTATTCATTCACCACATCTCCTTAGTACCCTCCAATCTCTAGGCCCTCCCAATTCTTCTCTGTTTCTCCTGACCATGACACTTTTTTTTTTTTTT